GATACACTACATAAAAGTAACTATTAATACAGTGGAAGCAATTTTTCTAATCCATGTTTTCCCATATTTGCATTTCCTCTCTAGGAATCTTCAGGCACTTATAAACCCAAACTGGAAACAAGGCTGTGGCAGGCAGTGACAAATGATGTAGTTGTCATTGAACTGTATTTCTTGGAGACTTTTAAAAGACACATGCTTCTAATATTTCAAAGACATGTGAGCTTCAAGTTTATGCTCTATTAATACTGGATAGAAATTGTAAAATAATTTGTTTTATCCCTCTCCAGGTGATAAAGTCATCCCACTCGCTATTCCTCAGTGTGGAAAATGCAGAATTTGTAAAAACCCAGAAAGGAACTGCTGCTTGAAAAACGAGTAGGTTTCTGATGCTCTCCCTGCACAGACATTGAGTTTCCACGTTAGTTATGCTCCTGTCTCATGCCTTTGTGTGTCTGTGTATTGCACTGCCCAGTGTGAGCAATCCTCGGGGGACCCTGCAGGATGGCACCAGCAGGTTCCCCTGCAGGGGGAAGCCCATCCACCACTTCCTCGGTGTCAGCACCTTCTCCCAATACACGGTGGTGGATGAGAATGCAGTAGCCAAAATTGACGCAGCCTCACCCATGGAGAAAGTCTGTCTCATTGGCTGTGGATTTTCAACTGGTTATGGGTCTGCAGTCAAAGTTGCCAAGGTAAGAATGACAACGGGTGATAAAAACAGTTACATGCAGACTGTCAGGAACCCAAATGGAAGCAATTTCTCCCAAGAGTCAAAAGATTATTTTTGTAGATTTTGAATGTTGGCTAAGAATAGAAACACAATCCAGACAGAATTGAGAGCACATGCTAGAAATTTCATGTGTTTATCAGATTAAAAAGTTGTGGAGAGTTAAGAAAATGTAAAGATTTCATTTTCAATAATTACTCTTCTGTATTTGCTCTTTATGAGATCATGAAATATTAGGCCCGAGAACTCATTTAGTAATTCATTCAACAATTGGAGAGCACGTATACATGCCTCAGGCACCAGAGTTTCTGCTAGGTTCTGAGATAGCAAAAGTGAATGAAATGAAGCGTTTGCCCTTGAGGAACATCTAGTCTGCGGATCCTCTACTCCCAGAATTAGGAGCAACAGTAGAGTCCAAAACCTCACCTGATGCACTTCCAAAGCAAGGCTCACCCACTCTGTGGATTCTTAGACAGAAAGTAATGAAGCTTCACTGATGCGTAATTCACTCATTATGGGATTTCACTGTTAAAACGAACTCCCCTGCCATGAACACACACATATATTTCAGAAGTGGTAAATTTCAAGCGAAAATTCTTTAAAGGTTTCTTGTCTGAGTAGGCTGAAAATCTAGTAGTATGCTTTATTTTTATGAAAGCAAGGTCCAGAGTTATAAAGATATTTGACCACAGTCTCAGTGCTGAGACTAAAATATCTTTTTAATATGAGAGCTGAGATTAAAATATCTTTTTCAAATATCCTGCTGAATCTTAGCTCGCAATACATAATTATTAGTGTTTTAAAATCACAATCACGAGTCTTATATTTTTCTAAGTAAGGTAGAAAATGGTGTTGTCCCCATAGTATGAATAACACTTGGTGAATGAATGAGTGAATAGACACCCTTAAGGGAATATAAGGATGAGATTATTTGGGACAAGAAAGCATGTCACCCACAATGAAGACTGACTGTGGGAGACTAGGTTTAATAAATAACCACTAGCCAACCAAAAAAAAAAAAAAAATTCAGAAGGCATCTTTTCCAAATTTCTGACTTTAGCACTTAGTATCTTGTTCAGTTGCCTCATCCGTGCTAGCAGGTGGTCAAAGTGAGCCTACCCAAGACAGAAGAGGAGGCTACTCATAACAGTAGATTGTATTTATTATTGACATATAGACAAATGTTTCATTGCTGTGTTGTTCGCTAGTGTATTTTTAAAGCAGGGATATACTGGTCACAACTACTGAACATAAATGAACCAAGGCGTTAATTACGGAGGGTTTAAGTGGAATATTTTTCAGTCTCCTGGAGTAGACTTTTCCACTTATTTTATATTCCAAATATTGCCTTTGTGTATGTATGAGATATTGAAGCTAACTATCATGGGATTTCAGCAATCGAGAGTCCCTTCAAGACTGTAATCACTGCCATCTGGATCTCAAAGATCATCCAGTCCCCTTGTTCCCAGCCTGACCTTCCCATTGGAGTCACCTGGGAACAGAGTTCCACCTGCAGAGATTCTCATTTAATTGACATGGGCTGTGACCTGGACAGTGGGATGGTTTGTAAAGCTCCCCAGAAGAATCTAATATGCATCAGTTTGACAACCACTCAACTAGTTCATCCCCTTGAATTTAAAAATAAAGCAACCGAAGTCAGAAGAGATTTTGATAAAAGGTTGGACAGAAGAGTCTGAGTAGCTCTTGATAAACACGTAGGCATGGCACTTTATAAAGCTTAGGCACTTTCTAACAATCATTACTTAATCCATTTTTGCATTTTCTGAAAACATAGGTCACTCCAGGCTCTACCTGTGCTGTGTTTGGCCTGGGAGGGGTCGGCCTATCTGCTGTTATGGGCTGTAAAGCAGCTGGAGCAGCCAGAATCATTGCGGTGGACATCAACAAGGACAAATTTGCAAAGGCCAAAGAGTTGGGTGCCACTGAATGCATCAACCCTCAAGACTACAAGAAACCCATCCAGGAGGTGCTAAAGGAAATGACTGATGGAGGTGTGGATTTTTCATTTGAAGTCATCGGTCGGCTTGATACCATGGTATGTACCATGATATGTCCTGAGATTTCTGCCTCTGCAACCTGGAAGATGCATTTAGGCAGCAAAATATAAGTTTTATGTATAAAGGATATTTTTAATGATGAATGGAAATTTCCCATCATCTGTTATCTGGCTTGTTTAATTTTTGTTATGAGAAATCTTTTCTTCCATCACTATGCAAATCTGTCTCAAGTCATATTTCCTCTAGAGGAAAAGATAAGGGCTTGTTTTTCTTAACTGAGCAATTACAGATATACTTTTTTAATTTTTAGTTAAAAACTGTAAGTTCAAGTAAACATAAATAATACAAATTCTGTTCTCAAATTGAAATGTTTTATTTTTCTCCCACATTCTTAAAAAAAAGGCTCAATAATTTTGCATATGTTCTTAATAAATTCCAAATTTTTAACATGTTAGTGTTTGGCCAAAAGAAATGAGCAATTTTAGGCCAACTGCTGTTTTATTAACAACAATATGCCCTAAGGAAATTGACTGCTTTGAGACATCACTGTATTTTATCACAGAAACGGGACAGTGCCTGGCACATAGCTAGTACCCAATACTAGTTGGACTGAATACTTTGAAAAGTCAACAGTCTCTACTAAAAATACAAAAATTAGCCAGGTATGGTGGTGTAGCGCATACCTGCAATCTCAGCTACTCGGGAGGCTGAGACAAGACAATCACTGGAACCCAGGAGTCGGAGGTTGCAGTGAGCCAAGATCACGCCATTGCCCTCCAGCCTGGATAACATAGTGAAACTCCATCTCAAAAAAAATAAAAGGAAAGAAAAAAGAAAAAAAAAAGAAAAGTCCATTGACTTTACCATCCCCCAGAATTTAAAAGCTATGTATCCCATAGCATTGCTTATAGATTATATGAGACAACGCATGTGATATAGTTAGCATAGTGCTGCCTGTCATATGGTAAGCTCCCAATAAATATCAGCTGTCTTTTTTTTTTTTTTTTTTTTTGAGACAGGGTCTCACTCTGTCACCTAGGCTGAAATGCAGTGGCATAATTATAACTCGCTGTAGCCTCAATCCCCTGGACTCAAGCAATTCTCCTACCTCAGCCTCCAAAGGTGCTGAGAGTATAGGCATGAGCCACCACACCCAGCCTAAGTTGGCTTATTGATATGAAATATTATTTCTAATCTTGCAATGCTTACGTCGTCTTTGGCTTATTACATGGTATTTCTTCCAAACAGTTACAAATATCAATTGCAATGGGAAACACATCTCTAGCTATATTTCACCTACCCAGAATTCTCTAGAATCCTACTCAAAAAATCTCCAGAAACCAACAAATTTCCATTGCTGAGGTTTTCTAGAAGGTCCAGCAGTGTGGGTAACAGGGAGTGGCACCCTAAGATCAAAGCTCTCAGCAGCCTTGGGCTGGGACAGATGCCACAAAGGAATAAAATGTCAAAATAATTCAACATTTTCCAGGGCTACAGCTTTTCTCCTTATGCTCTTTTTCTATATTTTCATCCATTTTCTCATGTGGAACTCGAGTGTACCTTATCTCAAGATACCAAATGTCTGACAGCCACATGTTCTGAGGATGTGTGGTCTTCCAAAGGTCAGAATCCAAAATCAAAGAACTAATCATTATATACCTATGGGGATCCTAAACCATTTTCTAACTACAGAACGTGTTCCAAAAGCTGACTGGAAAACATTTTCTGAACTTGTCCATTGAGAAATGGACCAGTACGGGAGTAAGGATAACCCACTTAAGAGGGAGACCATCAGTGGGACAAAAAGACAAATTTCAACGAGTGAATA